AAAGGCACAAATCTATGTAAAGCAAGAGAACGAAGGCGAATTTTTCATAATATTCATTCATTCCACCTCATCTTGTCCCACCTAATCTCATTCCAACCAATGCGTTCATTCACTCGACCTTACTTTACTTCACTTAGTAGCCATTGTATATCGTCCCATTGCGCTAGGAGCGTTGCTTGTTTTATGCCGCACCAATTCATCATCTTATCCAACGGACCAGGCAAATGAGACGTATCAGCAATCTGCATAGTCACATGCGTATCGGCAGCCAGCGTACACCGAGTACTGTTCACATGGCAATGAGCACGCAACTCACAGGTGTGGACTGCTGAAATAACAAAACTTCTACGCCAAGTTGCAGTGATTCCGAAAACAATACAGTGATGTTATGGCGTGCGCACCAGACAGAAGACAGAGAACGATGACAACCCTAGTACACCGAGGGGGGGGAGAGTGATTGGGTTAAGAGATTTGCAAACGTTTAGAGGAAAGCCCAGCATTTGTTGAGGCTAATGATGGATGAAGTAAGTGAACCCGTGGGTTGGATGCATCTGTACCGAAAGAACACGCTGGGCAGGCCACTACATACACGTCCCCTTTTACAGGAGGGTATGTGTGTTTGTGTGTTCAAACTTTAGATGGGTTCTAATTTGCGTGCCCTGCGCCTGCAGTACGTGTGGGGTCTAAAGTAAATGGTGACGCGAATATGGTGGTAACCAGAGTGACGTCTCAGTTGTTCATTCTACTCCATCCCGTTTGTACCCTACCACTCATGTATGTGTGTATGTACACATGGGTGGGTGTGCATAGGTATGTAGTATCAGATATGTCGCTGTGCAGCCAAAACTCATCCATCCTGACCAATTTCGTTTAGCTTCCTTATAATGACACGGTCACGCTAGGCACAGATTCACAGCTGCCTCCGGTTGAAATACGCCAAAGCAAACGAACTATTCATTTGACATCCACTCATAAACATAAGTGGTGCTTTCGCACCTTGGTCGGATGGAAAGAGTCAAACAAAAGGGTTGGATTTGGGGAGTTGAAGACAGTGCGGAACTGGGCAAAATACAAATTAGTCCAAAATGGAGAAAAGAGTAACTTTCAGCTGTCTGTGCAGTGCGTCATAATCAAGTGAGAAAACTTAGAAGGGAATCATGAAATCCCGGGTCCTATAACGTTCACATTTAGTTAAATT